ATACGTTTTCTCCCCTTTCCCAATGTGTTAATATGGGTTGCATGTGCTTGCTATGTGTTATGTGTGCATGATACCCCAATTTGGTTGCGATCAAATTGGTTATTCCTGAGCAGCGGTTCAGAAGCTGGCTGCGGTCAGATTTACACTCTCGGGCTGCGGTCCACCGTTTGGTTGCGATCAAACGTTTTACATGAGCTACGGTTCATATTCCTGGCTGCGGTCAGATGATCACTCTTGGGCTGCGGTCCACCATTTGGTTGCAATCAAACATTTTACATGAGCTGCGGTTCATATTCCTGGCTGCGGTCAGATGATCACTCTTGGGCTGCGGTCCACTGTTTGGTTGCGATCAAACATTATGATGAGCTGCGGTTCATCGGTCGGTTGCGATCGACCCCTTCGTGTTGCGATACGAGGCAGGGTGCTGCTGGGCCGTGTCAGAGCTATATGCGCTGACCCTCATGTATGGGCATGCGATTGGTCCTGTGGCGCCAACAAAGTGTGCTTGTGTGATGAGTTGAATGATGATATACATGAGATGAAGTGAATCCGTGACCATAGGATATATGCTAGTATCTTTACATGCTTGGTTACAACTGTTGAATGTGCCTATCCCATAGGATATATGCTAGTGTTTTTACATGCTTGGTTATAACTGTTGAATGTGTTTGTCCCTATTTGTCGAGTCTATTCCGGTTTTGAAACTAGAGTTTCCTAGGATATATCTTCCTGCTTCAAAATGACTTTTCTTATATCTATATATATATATACTTATACGGTATTTCAACGCGTTAGAGTGGGTTACCAGCATCATTCGTTGAACAGATATATATGGCTTTCAGGTGCAGCTGATTAGTTCCCAGAGCGCGCTAGAAGAGCTTGGAGTATATAGATAGTTTTCCTTTTTGGCCTGCGTGCCACAATGATGTATCAAGGTTAGTTAGTTAGTTTAGTCTGTGCATCTGAGTTCTCCAGCTCAGATGTGGCATAACTACCCCGTACTCTTATGTTTAGAAATACTCTATTTTGGGATTTAATGAGAATTTACCTTTATTATATAAGTTTTAAAAGTTTCAAAATTTCGGGGTGTTACAGGAATGACGGGCAGAGCCCTACCCGTCGCCCACCCGCAGGTACATTGGCCTCGTGGGTAGTGTACCCGCGGGCGGAACCACGGGTAGGGGCCTACCCGTGGGTCCACCCGCGGGGAACCCTTCGGTGTTGTGATGGGATTTGTTCCCCGTGATTCTTTTGACTTCCTGATGTTCTTTTGTGGAACTATTTGAGTGTCTTCTTGATGTTTCGTTGTCTAGAACTATATGGTAGGTATCTGTGTAGGTCTTTGGTGTATTGAATCGTGCTAAGTGTTCAACATTGTGTTTCGTTGAACCGTGATGAGTCTTGTGTGTTCCTCGGAACTACGTTTGGTTTACTCGTTTGATAAGCATGCTAGTTTGGTATTTAATCTCAAGCGTGTGTGTTGTTTGTACCTTCCGATTGGTTGATGATAACTTGTGTTATTCATCGTTGTTGTTGTGGGCTGTGACCCATTCCTTGATTGAGTATGTTTCATACCTTCATTGTAATCCGTTGATTGATTCTTGTTGAAGTGTGATGCGTGTGTGGCTTTACCTGGATTGCACGATTAGTGGTATGGGATACTAGTCACCAAGTTATTGCAGCGGTCCTCGTGGTGGCCGTGACGTGATTATGGAGTTGTGGCCTGAGTGATGGGTCCACGTGATTCTTGGGTGGTATGTGTTGCCGTGTGTGTGTGTACGGTACCTTGTGTACTATGAAATTGGTAGTCTCGTTGGTGGTCGTTGGTGGGGGACGACGGTCCCGGTGGGAAAAGGTTGGACTAAGAAGTACAGGGGTCCTGGAGGTAATGGTTGGAAAGAAGAAACAAGGTTGGGGGTAGCCATAAGGTTGGAACCGGGCATAAGGCAGGCATATCAACTCGTGATGGGTGATGTCACGAGGGCTATTGTAGCCGGTGTTGTGTGTTCTTCTCTTGTGACGTGTGTAGTCACAGAGGCATGTGTTGCCTTGGCATGTGTTGCCGGTTGTGTGAGTCTTATTTCCTTGGCGTTGTGCTTGTCGGGTTTTGATCTATTGAGTGATGATAGATCCTGCCTTGACTCTTTTGTGAGTCGTGTTGTTCTTGTGGTCTTGGGATGTGTTCCCGTGTTGTTTGTTGAGAGTGTTGAGTCTTATGTTGGCTTTGACTCTTGGTTTTACACTTATATATATGTATTCCGTTTCGAAAATGGTTTTACAACTTATATCTTACCTATGTATGTTATTTCACATTTATTGGTGGGTTACTAGCATTATTCGCTGACCGGGCGTCGTCCCATGTTTATTTGTGTTCTTTCAGGTGATGTCTAGACGAGCGCGATGTCTAGTGGCCGATAGTGTAGCTCCTTTTGTTTGTCTTACGGCCTGTGAGTCGGTTTAGTTTTAGACTTGTGAGTTTTGGGATAGTTGTATACCATGCAGACTTTGTCGTAGCATTTATCGTTGTTGGTAGACGTGGCGTGACACCCCATGTTTTGGATTTTCGTTTATCCAGTTACCTTTTATCATCCGCTGTGCTAGTGTTTTGTTGTGATATCTGCATGCGTTAAGGCTTTTTATATAGCATGTTTTGGGGGGTGTTACAATATCGCCCAAGTGCCCCACCCAAGGTCAGTACCCAGTCTACAGAGGTTTAGGGGATTGTTGAAGTCAGGGAGCCACGCATCCAGGAGTCCAATCAAATCCCTTCAATATAGAGCTAACTCTGATGCAGTCCGCTTCACTGACGCAGTCCCACGTTGTTCCCACAACTGAGTGATCTTCGCGTCTACTGGTTTAAGCATGATTGATTCTTCTCAAGTTCATCTTCTTAAGCACCATGAATTGTATTTCTTGAGAAGGAATGGAACAACTAGAGCTGTGTATTCTTTTAGTATTGAGAGTGTCGGCTTCAAGGCATTCAACCCTAACTTCCGAAGGCTTCTATGCATAAATACTTCTTGTCTTTGATTCTCTCCAAAAATAGCTCTGGTTGTAAAAGGTAGGACTTGTATAGCAAATCAATCTTGATTCTTTAAGGAGATTTCGTCCATACCTAAGGAGAGATGATTTACTAATATTCTTTCTTGAAATTTCACCTCAAAATTGCATTTGCTAGCTCATACGCGTCTTCAATAGATGATCTCCAACTGTTTTAATTCTGAGACGTTTTGTCGTAATATCTGGTCAATCAGAACTTCAGTCTTCAAACTCTTACGGGCTCTAGAACAGAAAACCTATCTAATTTGCCATAATAATTTTGCCAATTACATGTTGGGGTTTTAGACTCAAAACACTAACAAACTCCCCATTTGGCTATTATTTGGCAAAACAACCTAATAAAAACGAAAGCCATGATTTAAAGCAATTAAACCAAAGATAGACCATTTCTAAACACGCTAAGCAGCACACAACCTACTAGAACTAAAACAATTAAAGCAACAACCCCCAACACTTCACACACACTCCCCCAGAATATCAACTACTCCCCCATGAGTCCTCACTACTCCCCCTTTTTGCGAAATGATAGACAAGGAAGCATTAGGCTGACGGAGGATCTCCATACTCGGCCAGTAACACAGAAGTATGATTACATATCACTTCAGATTTTCTGACCCATATCTGTCTCTTGAAAGGAGTAATGAATTTATTTCTAAAATTTTCCTCTCTTTGATCCTTATAGAAGTAGTAGCACTCAAGTCTGGTGTGACCTCTAATCAGGCAATAATGACATGTAGGAGTATAGTTTCTGAGTTTGAAATAATTGCCTTTCATCTTAGAGTGAAGAGACTGAAATTTAGTGTAGACTGGTTCAAGCTCAGTAGTGGAAGCAGAAGTGTTTCCTTTCACGAACACAGGAGCAGACCTAGACGATTGACCTTTTTCAAAACCAAAACCAATTCTACTGTTAGACTTTCTGCCTGAGTCTAAAATCTTGTCCAAAGTAGAAGTAGTATCCATCATCTTAATCTTTTTCTTCAAATCTTCCAGTTCCTTTACCAGCTTTCCTTCTCTAGATCTGATCTGAGTAATAAGATCATCTTTCATAACCATATCAGCATTTAGTTTCTTCAACTGTTCCTCACGCTGTCTAAGATTTTCATTCAATTTTTTTTTACCTTCACCAATTGTTCCCAGCTAGAAACAAGTTTAGCAAACTCCTTTTCTAACTGAGTATGTCTTTCTTCAAAATCGTCTGAAGACATGTAGGCTCATCATCCTCATCGCAGTCTGAGTGAACTTCTGATGCAGTGAAGAGTGTAACACAGTTCCCAGTATTTTCATCAAACACTTGGTTTGCACTTTCCTCTTTGTCACCACATAGGGTTGAAGCAGACATGGATTTCTTCCTCTTTAGGTAAGTTGCACATTCTGCTTGATTATGACCAAACCCTTCACATTCCAACATTGAATTGATAGATTTAGGGCTTTAGTTGTACTGTTTGATGCATTCTTAGACTGACCAGGCTTCAAAACTGAAGGAGTTGACTCAGGTTTCTGATTTGTTGAGTTTCTACCCTTGGATTTATTCCTATTAAACTGTCATTGGCCTTTTTGACTGGATCCCTTTGAAATCTTCTTGAAAATCTTCATGAGCAAAGCTATGGATTCATCATCGACATCTTCAGCGTTAGATTCTTGATCAGCGTCAGTAATGAACGCCATTGATTTTCCTTTTCTGACTGAACTAAGGTTATCATCAGTCAGCACTTGAAGTTCGTAAGTGTGTAGACTACCAATTAGTTCACCAAGACTCTTATTCGACCAGCCTTGATTCTCTTGAATTGCTGTAACCTTCATACGAAACCTCTTGGGTAGTGAGCGAAGAACTTTCTTGACCACCCTTTCTTCAGAGAATGGTTCGCTAAGAACAGATGCCCTATTCATCAAATCCTGTACCTGACTATTGAAATCTGAGATATTCTCCTCTTCATTCATCTTCAGGGCTTCGAATTCTGAAAGAACCATTCGTAATTTGACTGCTTTACATCATCGGTTCCTTCGTATCGAGTTTGCAAGATCTCCCACACCTTCTTGGCTTCTTTCACACCAGTGACTTGGGTGAATACAGACTCATATAATGATCCCACAATTGAATTCAATGCTTTGCTATTGTAATCTGAGAGAGATAATTCATTAATTGACCATTCCTCTACTGGTTTACAGACTGTCGTACGCATCAGTCCGTTTTTTGTAGGGGGTGTCCAACTAGTAATTACAGAACGCCACACTCTAGCTCCTTGGGCTTGAAGATAGATTTCCATTCTGGCTTTCCGGAATGAGAAATTATTACCATCCAACAGAGGTGGCCTATCCATCTGTCACAAATGACTCAAACAGCAGTTTGTCCGCCAGAAAAGTAAAAATACACGAAAGTACAGAAATATAGTTCCCTTTCGGATCAAGTCACTATGTAGACTTAAAAGCTCTGATACCACATGAAATTTCTGTATTCGTGTTACATATTGTTTCTAGATAATATTTCAGTCTGATTCTGTTTGAGTGATTGACTTAGCACTGTCGTAGACCAGTCAGTAGATCAGTGAATAATCTTGGTGCGGAAATTAAATCAAACAGAAGTAGAAGACATAAAATATTGTTTACCCAGTTCGATACAACAGTATCTATGTCTGGGAGACGATCACCGATGCGTCCAATCCACTAACTCATAATTCAATGTACAAAGGTACAGAAAAACGATCTCACCCAAGTGCCCCACACAAGGTCAGTACCCAGTCTACAGAGGTTTAGTGGATTGTTGAAGTCGGGGAGCCGCGCATCCAGAAGTCCAATGAAATCCCTTCAACGGAGAGCTAACTCTGATGCAGTCCGCTTCACTGACGCATTCCCACGTTGTTCCCACAACTGAGTGATCTTCGCGTCCACTAGTTTAAGCATGATTGATTCTTCTCAAGTTCATCTTCTTAAGCACCATGAACTGTATTTCTTGTGAAGGAATGGAACAACTAGAGCTGTGTATTCTTTTAGTATTGAGAGTGTCGGCTTCAAGGCATTCAACCCTAACTTCCGAAGGCTTGTATGCATAAATACTTCTTGTCTTTGATTCTCTCCAAAATAGCTCTGGTTTTAAAAGGTAGGACTTGTATAGCTAATCAATCTTGATTCTTTAAGGAGATTTCGTCCATACCTAAGGAGAGATGATTTACTGCTATTCTTTCTTGAAATATCACCTCAAAACCGCGTTTGCCAGCTCATACGCGTCTTCAATAGATGATTTCCAATTGTTTTAAATCTGAGACGTTCTGTCAGAATATCTGGTCAATCAGAACTTCTGGTCAATCAGAACTTCAGTCTTCAAACTCTGACGGACTCTAAAACAGAAAACTTATCTAATTTGCCATAATAATTTTGCCAATTACATGTTGGGATTTTAGAATCAAAACAGTAACAAGAATATTCGAGTCTAAGTATAAATCATAATCTTAAAATATAGAAAAGGAAACTTTCGTATTAAATAACCTAAATTCAACGGGGTAATAATCCATGCATATGAAGGGGTGCTACCGCCGCAGCCATCGACATAAAGGTCACTGCCCGGCTAAACATCCAGAAACCAAAATATAACTAACATTAAGTATGTACCAAACTAAGTCATTTGTAAATATTAAATTTTGTATTACAATAAATAATTATTCTTAAAAGACTCAGAAATAGCTAATTACAAAGAGGTCGAAGAAAAACATTGAATGCATGCAGTATGTTGCACTTAAAAACCTAGCAATACAAGAAATATACTAAACTCTCATATTAAGATTATATTCACAACATTTCAATTTTGTTCTCTGAAAGACATACAAAACTACGTACTCAGCTAGCTAGCCTTGTAAAAATGAAAGCTTGATCTTGTTTAATGTTCCCACAACTTCTTTCATGGTTGGTCGTTCCTCCGGAGATTCTCCAGCACAATGCAAAGCCAATTTCATTAATGATGATGCACATTGCAACTCCTCATTCAAATGTTTGTCGTCATTATTGTTGCCGCTAAATAGACTTGCATCTATTACTTGGAATGGATGATAAGGCAGGGCCGGATTTGAGACTGTGCAAGCTGGGCTACCGCACAGGGCCCCCAATTTAAGAGGGGCCCCAAATTTTAGAGGCCCAATATTTAATATTTACCTAGCTAGTTTAGAAATAAAAATTAAAAGTTTACAATTGATTTTAAAAGGTTTTATGAAGTGATGGTAGAAATGTGTATTTGTTGTATTTTAACTTGAAGGTCAAAGGTTCGAAACTCGCATATGTTAGTTTTATAAATTAAGATTTTGGGGGCCTCAGTTATTTACTATAACAGGGCCACAAAAACCTAAAATCCGGCCCTGGATAAGGCAACGCATCCCTTACCCAACTTGTTAGGCTCATCTCTTCCGTGAACATCTCATCTGTGGGCTTTTTTCTTGAAAACATTTCCATCATCATAATCCCAAAACTATAAACATCACATGATATCGATACTCGTCCATGCGTTCCATACTCTACAAACAAATTCATGATCATCATCGTAGTGCAGCTAAGGAGATTAACTGGCTGGTACTACTGGAAATTATAGAATTTTCGACCACCTGAGAGTAATCTTAAATCAAGTCGAAAGCAAAAAGTGGTCGGAAATAGCAATAAAAGTTTTTCCGGATACCAAAAGTGGTCGGAATAAGGCTTTCAACTTGATTTAAGATCATTTTCAGGTGGTCGGAATTCCATAATTTCTAGTAGTGTGGTTAGAATTAATAATAAATAAGTTATATGTAATAATATAAACACTAATAAGTGTGAATAAAGATTATACCCTTCATTTATATTCGTTTTTTCGTTACGTTTTTGTATACATTACACTATAGGAGTTTTACTATACAATATTTTGGACAAACATACTCCTACCATTATAACTTCCGTTATCTTTTTCATTATTGTTACCATGCACATGCATCCACCATATATTTTCTTATCTTCTTCAATAATAATAATATATATACCCATTATATGTTAGTTATTTCTTAAAATATAATATCAAATTTTATAAATGTTTTACATTATTATTATTAGAGTTAATCACCATTTTGGTCTCTCAATTGCTTTCCAACTGTCAATGTAGTCACTAGCTAGTTTTCAATTTCAACCAATTTGATCCTCAAATTGTTTAAAATTTCGTCATTTAACCTTTTTAGGGACCAAAATGTTGATTTTCACAGTTTTAAAATTTCATCAATTTGGTCTTTGAAAGGGTTTAATTGACGAAATTTTAAACAATTAGATGATCAAATTGGTTGGAATTGAAAACTAGGGACTACATTAATAATTTGGAAAAATCTTTGATTTTCTGACCACCTAAAAAAATGGTCGAAAAAGCGACATGTTTTCAATTTTTCAGACGAAAGATAATATATACCGACCACAAAGTAAAGGTGGTCGAAAAAAAATTTCGGTAGTTTAAATAAACTGAGTTAGGAATTTCCGCTAATCTTTCTAGTAGCCGATTTTTCCGACCACTAGACAAGGTGGTCAGAAATAGCGACGAAAGTTTTTTCAGATACCAAAAGTGGTCGGAACAAGGGCTTCCGACTTGATTTAAGATCACTTTTAGGTGGTCAGAAATTTCGTGATTCCAGCCGTGTTATTATTATTTACAATAATATAAATATTTAAACTCTAAATAAATCTATAATTTTTATATAAAGTACTAATATTGGTACTATACCTATTTTTACCTAGGATAATATAAGTCATAGCTTTAAAAATGACCCCCCAAAGTCAGAGCAAAGAGCTGACGTATCAGGAACAACAAGAAATTGTTTGATAAACATGACATTAAGTGTAGTTACCTGGTGCCATGTAACCCAAAGTTGCCAGTGTTTTAGTGTGGAGAAAAGTCTCATCTTCACCTGCAAACAGTTTCGTTATGCTAAAGTCACTAACATGGGCCACCATTTCTTCATCCAAGAGGACATTACTAGGCTTTATATCACAATGAGCCACCGGAGTAAAATAACCATAATGGAGATATTCCAGTGCTGAAGCTACATCCATCATTATATTTAGCCTTTGCAAAATATTTAAGAAATTGGTTTCAGAGTACAACCACTCCTCAAGATTTCCATTAGGCATGTATTCGATGACTAGGGCTTTAAAGTTATCTCCAAAGCAGCCAGTAATAATCTTAGTGAGGTTTCGATGGCGCAAATTTTTTAACACTTGACACTCAACTTCAAGACTTCTTTGTGCATGTTCTGATTGATTGAACACTTTGATGGCAACAACCATCCCAGAATTTAGAATCCCTTTGTAAACAGAGCCAAAGCTTCCAGAACCTAAAAGATTGCTTTGGCTAAAACTTGCAGTTGCTTGCACAAGTTCATAATATGAAATTCTTGTTGGCTCCCGTAGGAACAATTGATCTGTTTCACTTTGAGAAATGTTCTTCTTTCTATATCTTCTCACCAACAAGAATGCAATAACGATGAAGAACAATAAACTCAGGGCTCCTAACAACACAAATACTTTTTTGTTTCTTGAGTGTGGATGAGGTGATGGGCATGTCGGGACACCAAACCTAGGACTTCCGCAGAGTGCTTCATTAAACATGAAAGACTGCCTCGTTAAGTTTCGTAAAGAACCGCCAGAAGGGATTTCGCCGCTCAAGTTGTTGAACGACAGGTTGAGGTATTTGAGGTTTTTAAGGTTTTCCAAAGACTTTGGGATTACACCAGTTAGTGTGTTATGGGATATGTCCAGGAATTCCAATGCTATAGTTGGTTCTTTGAACTCTGGAATGGGTCCTTGCAGTTTGTTATTGGCAAGGAGAAGAATCTCCAAATTTTGCATTTCTGTGACTGAGGGAGGTATGTTCCCAGAGAACTGATTATTTGATAGATTCAAATGTATAACATCCTCAAACTTGACAACGTCAACCGACAACGATCCATTTAAGGAATTTGCGGACATATCAACTCTTAACAAACCTTTGAGGTCCCAAAAGCTTTGTGGTATCCCAAAACTAAACCTATTATGATCAATGTAAAGCTCTCGCAAGAAAGAGAGATTACTCAAGCATTCAGGTATCCCATCTGACATTTGGTTGAAGCTCAAAGACAACAATCCTAGGTTTCGTAGCCTGCAAAGGCTGGTCGGAAGGGGCCCTCTCAGTTTGTTGTTGTCCAGTTCCAATTTCTGAAGCTGTTGCAGCCTATCCAAGGTTGTCGGAATGAACCCAAATAAGTCATTGAAAGATATAGTCAACTCAATCAAGTTTCTCAAGTTCCCAATCTGAGTTGGTATGTTTCCCTTCAACCCGCAGCCAGCGGCAACAAAGATCTCAAAAGCAGATGAAAGATTCCCGACAGAAGTGGATAGAGCGCCGCCAATAAGAGGATTGAAAGTGATCCTTAATTCCCTCAAATATCGAAACCTTGTCAAGAAATCGATGATGCTGGGCTCTTCCACGGATGGCTCATAATGAAGGGTGTTATTTTGCATGGACAGAAGCTGTAGATACCTTAGATTTCCCAAAGATCTTGGAATGGAGCCACTAAAATAGTTGTAACTGAGTTCAAGGTCAATCAGTTTGGAAGAATTTGAGATAGACTCTGGTACCATTCCTTCCAGGTTCATTTCACCAAGGTATAATATTTTCAAATTAGGTAAGTTAGAACCCATGCTTGGTGGAAGAGTTCCGGTAAGCCCATAATTGAGAGTTAGGTCCAAGCGTGTTAGCGCTGAGAAATTGAAGATTTCATATGGTATTGTACCTGCCATATGTATATTTGTATATATTGGTTAGTTATTGTGGTTAGTTTATGGTATAAATGTATTCCATATAATGTTTACTCAAATTTACATAAAGAAAATATACTACGTGTACTTTCATTTTTTACTCCAAACTTTTACTCATATACATAAAATTTTAATGTTGACACTTGCATTGGGACCCACATGAAAAAAGTAGTTTATTAGTGTCCGCCACATCAAAAAGAAATTTAAGGAGTAAGATTTGGAAATTCGTGTAGTAGAACTCCTTACATAATTGTATGATTGATTTCATGACATGATAACACGATAGTATATTGTTTTTACTTAATTAGATACTTTAAAAAGAGTGATGCCATTCCCCTCTTATATTTATCTCATAAGACTGGTTTTCTGTGAGATTGTTTCATGGGTCTCAATTTATGAGACGGGTCAGATGTAATAAAAATTGGTTGCTCATAACAAAATTGCGGATACAATCAATATTTTAGGCTTGAAGTTATGGAGGCCTAAAAGGAGGGAATGATGAGGTATTGAGCTTGGAAGGAGGTGGTATAGTGGGTATGCCCACAAGATGGGATGTGAAGGTGAAGCAAAATTTTAAAGAGGTGCAACTAAGAAGAGTTAATCTCATGACTTGGTTGGATATTAAACATGCAACACCCATCCAAGTCACTCCACATCTTGTGTACTAAGGGGCAGCAGGCAGGTTATGCATATTCAGATGAAGGGAGATGTACAAGTAGTAGAGGATGAAGAGGGTTACGTGTATAGTCAAGGTGAAGGGCCAGTGAAGATCACACACTTATCAACGAACATGGGGGCTCTAGACCCTACAAAAGAGACCTCATTTCTCCCTTTTAGACATCATCATTGGTTCAATATCATGTGGTTGGGCTTGCAGATTGGGTAATCAGTCTAAGGAGAGAAACAACAATTTTGCTTCCAATGTTTGATGGGCTTGCAAAGCATGATAGGTAGCCCAAGAGAAAAAATATAGTGGTTGCACTTGCAGGCTGGGTAGGCAGCCCATGAGAGAAAAACAATTTCGCTTCTAATGTTGGAAAGCAAGGTAGGCAGCCCAAGAGACCAAAAAAAAAAAAAAAAAAAAAAAAAAATATATATATATATATATATATATATATATATATATATTGTGGTTGGATTTGCAGGTTGGATATAGCCAACCCAATGAGAAAAAAAAAAAAAAAAAAAAAAAACAATTTCACTTCCAATGGTGAACTTGCAAATCAGGGTAACTAACCCAAGAGAATGAATTAAAAAAATAATAATAATAACACAAACACAAACACACGACAAATTCTACTGTGAGCACGTGTCCACCTTGCAAGGTGGGCACAATTCCATATTCATAATTTTTATACTATAAATTTATAATTTTTATACTGTAGATTCGTAATTTCTATACTGTAGATTCATAAAATTTATACTTTAAATTCTAATTGTTGAACTCTGTTTTCACAAATCAGAGAACTATATATATTCATAATTTGATAACTATATAGTTTAGAAATTATGAATTTACAGAAATTATGAATCTACTGTATTTAAATTATGAATCTATAGTTTAGAAATTATGAATCTAAAGTATAAATTTTATGAATTTACAGTATACAAATTATGTATCTACAGTATAGAAAAATAAATTTACAGTATAAAAATTATGGATATGGAACCGTGTCCACCTTGCAAGGTGAGCACATGCTCATAACATAACGCCCCCCCCCCCCCCCCCTCCCCCCCACACACGCACATATTGTTCATATCAAATGAGGACTAATCTTGTGCGCTCATTTTTTTTAATTTTTATTTGGATGACCTAGATTTGATTTCCCAAGATGACATGGATATATATATAGTTCAGATCAAATGAATACTCATCATTAGGTAAGGACGTGATGACTAAACTTGTGTGCTCGTTTTTATTTTATTTTATTTTATTTAGATGACCTAGATTTGATTTCACAAGATGACATGGATTGATCATTTTTGTTAAAGTCGGGGTAATAGTGTCTTTGTCTATTTTTTTTAATGTGTGAACGTATGGGTAATCCTTGACCAAATTTATTTCCTATTTTCTTGGATCATCACCGTTGCGATTTGGAGCCGTGATTTCTTCATCATCGATCGAGTGTTCGTCCATGCAAAGCGATCAATATTTTGTATTTTTTTTTCGCTCGTTCTTTGGAGTATAATATTACATATATTTGGATGTTGTTGTATATGTACACATGTCTGGGTACTACAGTTTTGCAATTGGGTGTGCTGGTTGTTCAACCCATTGTTGTTTGTTGTGCATCTTAGGGTGGTGAGATGTGCATTAGTGCACTTAGTGCGGTGCATCGTAGGGAATTGAATGTCCATTGTAGAATTTTTTGGCGTAGTCAGAGAGTTATCGGTGCACAACACTCAGTATAGGAATGCACGACACTCGGTATAGGAATGCACGACATCCTGTATATGAATGCACAACTTCTAATAAGACTGATTTATCCCTAACTTTATATTTTTAATATTTTAAAGAAATTTGTTTCCTTAATCTGTGTGATTTGTTCCTTTTAATCTCAGTCGTGCATTGTTATGATTTAATGGTCTAGATTAGTCTTTACGTTCTCGCCTAAGGATGAGTCTTCATGTGAACCAGACCATATATATATATATATATATATATATATATATATATATATATATATATTGCTTGCAGGTTGTGGAAACAACTTGGTCAACTCAAGCAAAAACAACAAGCCCACGAAGGCAAGACGACAAAAAATAAAAATCTTTCTTTTTCTTGCATGGAACATGTGAGAACTAAGTTGTTGTACGCAAATTATGTCGAATACAGGGGTAAATTTATAATTTCTATGTTGTAGATTCATAATTTTGTTTTTAATTTGTTGTTAACGACGTTTGTGAATCTTATTATTTCGTCTTCGCAGTACAAATATTATGAATCTACAGTATAGAAATTATGTATCTACAGTATAGAAACTATGAATCTACAGTATAGATGTTATGAATCTACAGTATAGAAATTATGAATCTACAGCATAGAAATTATGGAACTATCTCGTGTTTACCATGTACATAATGAACACGATCCCACAGCATAACTATTGGTTGTTCTAACGAATTGCATATATGGAAAGTGGTATGGGCGATGCTATTCAAAAGACAAGAGAACCTTTCAGCCCATAAGTTTGGAGAGTCAATGTGTGTGGGTAAAAGTTTGGGAATATCAATACTTTCTTTGCCCCTCAAAGACAACTAAGAAAAGTCAGGAACACATGATAGAGCCATGAGGACCAAGACCCATTGAATTAGCAATATCTTGCCCAAGAGGAATAACGGAGGTGGGCTTGAAAGTAGGAGGCCCAAAAGGAGGGGTTGGTAAATGCACAAGAGGCAAATTATAATCGATTATGCACGGCGCGCCTTTTTTTTTTTTTAAATGAAAATAAACAGTGTCTGTTTCCGTCGTTTCGCACCCTTTTGCAAAAAGTAACTCTGTTATTCAGTGTCATTTTGTATACACTGCAATTTCAGTTCAACACAACTACAGTTTCATTTCGATATAACTATAGTTTCATTCCATATTTATAGACTCAAATATGTGAAAATGTTATTTAATTTTATTTTATATACACTATAATTTCATTAAAACACAACTACATGATCATTTTGATATAATTACAGCTTCATTGTACAATATACACTCAAATATGTGAAATGTTATTCAATTTCATTTCACTATAACTACAGTATCATTTTGATATAACTGCAGTGTCGGTTTAGATATACTATCGTGTCAGTTGGTGTTTAATACACCAAACAAACGGACTCCGTTAACTCTAACGGTGGGCCGTTTCTTTACTTAAAGAAACGGCGCCGTTTTTTACCGCGGTGCACATGCACCGCGGTCTATAATATAACATGGGGTGAGAAGGTGGAGCAAAAATGTTAAGGAGGTTCAACCGAGAAGAGTTAAACTGATGACGGAAAATTATTGTGTGGAATATGGTCCACACAGTTGTGTGGACCATGAATATTAGATAATTTTTAATATATTAAAAGTATATTATTTTTGTAATAATGATATATTATTTTTGTACTGAAGGTACATTATATATTATTTTTAGTATATTAAAAATGTACTTTCAAAAAATTAACTTACGTACATAAATAATGTACCCTTAATATATTAAAAATGTAATTCTTATTTACAGATTATGTGAATCGTGGTCCATACAATAATGATTGACTGATGATTTGTTGGATAGAAAAATAAGCAACACCCATATCCAAGCTACTTCACTTCTTGTTTGCAAAGGGGTAGCAGGCTATACATATTCAGATGGAGGCCGATGTGGCAAGTAGGACAATTATAATTTTTATTATGATAATAAATAAAGAAATAATTAAAATTCAGTTGTAAAGTAGTGGATTCACAAAAAATTGAAAAAAAAAAAAAAACTTAAAATTAATGGGGAGAAGGGTTTTTGAGATTGAGTGAGATAGTGAATGATGATGTGGATGTTTGGACTCACAAAAAAATTTAGAGAAAGAATCTCACTATTCTTCTCAAACTTCACCCCTGTCCAACTGAGCTACCCATGCAGGTAAGAACCTCGCTATTGAGGTGGCTCTAAATTGTTCATAGCTAACTAGCTCAAATCGAGAAGGCCAATAAGCCGCTCTCACTGAGAGTTGAACTTGCAACCGAGAATGCAAATAATTCTTCCAAAATAAATAAGTTGGTGTAGCATTACCTGTAAAACTGTTGGAGCCAAGATCCAGTTCTTGAAGATTGGTGCACCTATGAAGCATTCTTGGAATTCTTCCATAGAAGTGGTTGGTGTCCAAGTTAAGTAGCTCAAGCCCAGAAAAGTTATGACAAATATCTGCTGGGAGAGTTCCAGAGAGCCTATTATCATACAAATCGAGAATAAGCAAGAATGTCATATTATTGAATATCCCAGCAGGTATGGAACCCATTATTTGGTTTCTTTCTAATGACAGTGACTCCATACTGTTAAGATTTCCTATTTCTTGTGGGATTTCACCTGGATATAGTAAATATCACGCATCAAAATTGATGAACATAGTCAAACTATTAATAAAAACTTGATTCAAATTATAGTTTATATTTCAATATGAAACACTCTCAAAGATTACATGCATACCAGTTAGAAGATTGCCACCAAGAGCTAACGCCCAGAGGTTGGTTAAGTTTCCAATTTGAGGAGGTATTTGACCTCGAAATCTGTTGTAAGACAAAGACAAAATTTGAAGGGCAAAGCATTTGGATAAACTGGCTGGGATTTCACCCTCCAAGTTGTTGAGCGAAAGATAGAGTCTTTGGAGGGCAGGATTAATAACGTTGTCACACATGTCAAGAGGAAGGCTTCCCGACAGTTCATTCTTCGTGAGCGCGACAGATTGTATCGTGGATATGTTGAATATAGTGAATGGTATTGAGCCGGTGAGGTGATTGTATTCAATGTTCAACTCAATCAACCTAGGAAGATGTCCAATCTCTTGAGGGATTTCCCCTTGCAGGGAATTGTAACTTAAATGGATTTCTTCTAACGTTGTAATGTTGCTTAGAAAAGAGGGCAGCGAACCGCTGAAACTGTTGTTTCTTAAATTCAAGTGTTCAAGTCTTGGCAAGAGACCAAGCCAAGCTGGGAGATTCCCGCTGAAGTTGTTGACGCTACAGTCGAGAAATCTCAAGCGTCGCAGGTTGGCCAGGTTTGGCGGCAGGTTGCCGAGGAAGTTGTTCTGTCGCAGGTTGAGGGAAACTAGGAAAGAAAGACGGCCTAGTTCCGGAGGAACTTCACCGGTTAAACCCATGCGGGAGAGATTGAGTTGAGTGACTCTGCGGTGGCGGGAGCCGCAACTGACTCCCACCCAAGTGCAGGGAAAGGTGAGGGATGACCAGTTGGTGGCTATGATTTTGTTTGGGTCAGATGTGATGTGGGCTTTGAGAGCAAGAAGAGAAATTTGATCAGTGGTGATGTTGGTGGTCTCACACATGCTCAAACTCATCATCAGCAATAACATTGGAAAGGCTAAGGAAAACTGACGAGGTGTTGCTGTCTCCATGACAGAACCGAACCTGCTATAGTATGCTACGCTGTTTGTGTAAGGGACAATGGAGGTGTATCATTATATATAGTGATGGGCCATGATGGATACTCCCGAGTAAGGTATTTAGTCAGGAATATACTTATATACCTTAGCGGATGGGGCTCAAAGTTTGACTAGGTTCCTAAGGCAAATTATGCTATGCAGTTGTGCATACGGTTGTAGAAACGACGTCATTTTGACTAAAAACGCGCGTCCAATTTAAAAAAAAAACGATTCAGTTTTGATTCTCGTCAACAGTATTATGTTGTGCATAATTTAAACTATATATCCAGAATGAATGAACTAAATATCTAGAATGAATGAACTAAATATTCAGAATGAATGAACTAAATACCCAGCATGAATGAAAAAAATTCAGTTTCGATTTCCGTCAACGGCATTATGTTGTGCATAATTTGAACTAAATATCCAGAATGAATGAAAAAAATCAGTTTCGATTTCCGTCAACGGCATTATGTTGTGCATAATTTGAACTATATATCCAGAAGAAATGAGATTATTACTTTGTAATAGGTTCTGAGAATTCAATTCTAATGCAATTATTACTTTGTTAGCTTTCTCTGTTAAATTTTGCTTTTGTTTTATGGTTGTGTTGGCTTGCCGTTCGGCTATTGGAACGTTATGCTGTGCAACCGTGTGCACTATGCAAGGTGTGCATGGTTTCAATTCATAATTTTTATACTGTAGATTCATAATTTTTATACGGTAGATTCATAAAATTTATACTGTAGATTCATAATTTCTAAACCGTAGATTCATAATTTAAATACACTAGATTCATAATTTCTATATAGTAGATTCATAATTTCTATATTGCATATTCATAATATCTGTATTGTAGATTCATAATTTTTGTACTGTAGATTATTAATTACTAAACTGTATAGTTATCAAATTATGAACATATAGTTCTGTGATTTGTGAATACAGAGTTCAACAATTGGGAATATGAGCATCGAAAATTATGAACATATAGCTCTATAATTATGAATATATATTTATAAAATTATGAAAAATATAGCTCTATCACATGTTCACAAATCTAATACTGTAAATTCATAATTCTTATACTGTAGATTCATAATTTAAATACAGTACTGGTAGGGAATATCCCGACCGACATAGCTTCACCACGACCGAGAAGCCTTTGTCCTTTTCTCTTTGTCTTTGCAGGTAATAGGTCGGGCTCCTTGTGAAGAACCCGGTCGGGGTCCGACCGGGAGTTGCCCGAACGACGATGTCAACCACCGAGCGGTAGCCCTTAGGCGGGAGAGCTGACGAAGGACACGTGGCGGCTCTCTACATCGACAGGCAGGGCACCCGGGAGGATGACACGTGGTGGCTACGTGGAGGACATGCCGAACGGCTGGAATCCTGTCCCCGGCATAACGGCTATAAATACCCACAGTAGCTACAGTGTGAGGGACTTTTGGACGATCGATAGGTTGTTGTTAGAGAATCCCGACCGCAGTCAGTCGGTACTAAGAGCAACCAAGTAGATTGTACTTAGGGCCTTTACCGTGATCAATAAAGACATTTACTTGCTTTAATTGGTCTCGAGTTATTTCATATTGCTTACGTATAATTAGCAGTATCAAGTACATTTATAATTTTTAAACTGTGCGATTGTGAAGAAAGAATGAAATGTTTGAACGCAAAGACATAATATCTAAACGGCAATAAAAAAGATTTTTATTTAAAAAAAAAAAATTGGAACGGAGTCGTTTTGCAATCGTGTGCACTATGCATGGTGCACACGATTGCATAACATAATTTGCCTCGGCTATTTCGTGGCAGTAAAACCAATTGACCAAATCCAACAATTAATATGGTTAGTAGACTTTGGATGGAGGTTGGTGAAAGACTAAGTCCACTACTGATATACGGTGGCACTATATACAAAAACTAATGTTGATGTTAACAGGATCGGATCGGGAGAATAATGTGCACTGCAGAAGTAGTATAATCATAGAGATGGAGGGTCAGTTAGGTTGCCCAAGTCATTCGTGCAAAAAGGCCGGCCGGCTTGCAAGTCATTCTTGAAGAAATTTTCTGTCAAAATTGACGCGTTGGTGTGGCGGTAAGCACATACTGACAAGTCAATACGATAATTGCCCCATTAAAATTAAAAATACGCAACAATAATTGGACAATAGCAAGGTGCAGATGTTGTAGTTTTAAACTGTTCCATTTGTATCATTTGATTTGCGAAATGTTAGAAACCTAGGTGTCGTATAAGTAATTTGAGGCTCACAAGAAAACACTTTGATTACGGTCTTCAAGTGTGTGAAACATACTATTTTAAATTCACCATTGAACTAACTTAAGATTTTTGGTCTGTAAAAATTCTCTCATATATTCAATAATAATAGTATATATCGTATATCCTGGCAACGAACAAAAATTCTATTATATATCCCTAAGACATCCCCTTGATATCTCATTCATTCTAGGAAAATCTTCCCCAATTCTTCTAGAGACAATTCTCAAATCCTTCCAGGAACTTCTTCCGATTCCCAAGTCCAAAGTTTTTCCATCGGAAAGATTTATCAACATTATTGATCAACATAAAACTTTTACTATGGATAAATAATATTTTCAATTACACAACACCAAAATATTATTTATTCTTCTTGTAGACATGTCTGAACTAATATATTCAACCATTTACTGTATAAAGATTCAACATTCCTCCTCCATTTATATAGTAAACCTTGTTTACATGGCCACAAGACAAAAATATTCATGCCTAAATAAAAGTGTTTAGAGATTGAACTTCCATTTAGTGTTGTACACTTTACAATATTCCCTATATTACAATGATAGACAAGCTTTGAACTACGTAATCACTTTAAAAAATTGAAGGTACACCACACACAAATTTTTAAGTAACAACTTTTCCTTAAAAACTTAACACTCTATATCTAGGACTTGCGTCTGTATCTATTCATAAATAGGTCTCAAGGTGAGCCCAGACTTGATTTTAGCGGCCACATTTAATGTTTATATAGGTAGATTTTTTAATTCGTGTTCATGCATAAAGCATTTTGTCAGAAAATCTGTTAAGAAGTAAATCATTCTCTTTACATGCATGACCAAGCACTTATCTTAGATGAATTAATTGTTAGTGCTTGCAAATAATAAATGAAATACTCATGTTAATTGAACTCCAGATCTAATATATGTCGCATCTTTAGACGATATTTGAGTTTTCTTTCATTTATTATTTACTCAATGGGCTTATGTCCAATCCCATATGATGTCCTATATACCATGTCCCTTGACATATTGACTTAATAAATGGATCCGCGAAATTAAATCGGGACCATACATAATGCTACAATATCATCCTTGATAAGTCCCTACACATAACGTAACTATGTCTCACACCTATGTGCCTAGGCTTACTATTATACACTTGGCTATAAGCCTTAGCCAAAGTAGTAGCACTATCATATAAGAGTCATCATCAATTTAGGCAAAACAAGGATTTCTAAAAATAAATCCTTTAGCCATTCGATTTCTTTACATGCTAATGCAAGTGTGATAAATTCGATCCATGACACAAGTTTGCTTCTTAGAAACATAGGATATTGCACCACCTCTTATTAACAAAAATACCCAACCTCATCGTAAAGAATAATCTTCATGGTTGGAAATCCAACTTGTATCCGAATAATCTTCCTAGTTGGAAATCCAACTTGTATCCAAATACCCTTCAAAAATATAGGCCTCACTTGAATATACCAAGCTATAATTCATGGTTTTCTTTAAGTATTTTAGTGCTGTTCTTAAAGCTTGCCAATAAGTCATACTAGAATTATTAGTATACCTACTCAATTTACCTATCGTGAATTTGATCGATATCCAGCCGAGTACTAGTCATAGCATACATTAAGCAGCTAATTAGCTTTGAATACTTTAATTGATACACTGGACTCCCATTATTTGAAACTAATTTTACCATGGATCCATCAGAGTAGACACCAAAACATAATCAAATTGCTCAAACTATTAGATTAGACATTGAAGCACAATCAAATTGCTCAAACTTCTTTAGCACATTCTCAATATAATTAAATTTTGTTAAAGAAACTTTTCCATTATGTTTCTTTATCCTAATGCCCATGATAACCGCCCCAGCCTCTCCCATGTCTTTCTAAGAAAAATTAGTGTTGAGAAATTTTTTACAACATTTACTTGGTCCAGATCAATCCAAAAAAAGAAAAAGGAATGTAATCAACATATTGACAAATAATAATCCCTTGGACATTGGTCACTAAATTTTCTATATACACACTTATCAAACTAATTAATCTTTAACCCATTGCTCAAAATTACTTGATCAAATTGATGATGCCACTGCTTGGAAACTTTCTTTAGGCCATACAATGACTTTATTAATTTGCACACTTTGTGCTCTTGTCGGGTCCCTTAGCAATAAAGCCTTCAAGTTTTTTTTTGGGGAAGGGGGAGGGGGTACCCTGATACACTAGCTTCTCCTCTCTGTTGAAAACAACAGTTCACGGTCTTTCATCATGAAGTCTCTAATTTCCTCCGAGCATCTATTGAACTCAATCCATTCGCACTTTTTCCTCGGCGCCACTTTAGCCAACCAGTCAGCGGTGTTATTTTGAACACGTGGTATGTGAGCGATGGTGATCGACCAGTCCTTCTTGAGCCATTCCTTACTCCACGACACGAGAGATCCACATTGGCCCAAAGGTTCTACGCCACCCGAGAGCCAATCTACCACTTGTTGCGAGTCGCTAAACAGCTTAAGCTTTCTTACACCATGATCCCAAGCCCACTTGAGGCCTAAATATGCTGCCCAAAGCTCTCCCTCCGTGGCGTTACCTGTTTTCGTCATACAGCTAAAGCCTCCAAGCCATTCCCTATTGTAGTTGCGCATGAGTCCTCCGCAACCAGTAGGGAGATCTACCGAGATGAAGGAA